GGGCGCGGGTGTTCCCCGCTCCCCGGAGGCCCAGCTCGGTGTGCACCGCTGCAGTCCGTTCCAAGCCCTGCTTCTGCTCGGTCTCACGAGGTTTCTCTCTGGCTCAACGCTGGCTGAACTCGGTCCTGCTTGAGAAATTTCCCTCGCGGCCTTCCCGCGTGTAAAACCAACCCTTTTCAGCTGTCAGAAATTGTCGCTTCTCTGCGGTGCGTGTGGAACAGTTCCCTGCAGCCTCTCCGCAGCTCCTGATGGTCAGCGTCCGGTGCCCTTCTGCAACGGCAACTGGGTTGTACGTGCAGCAGAGACGTCGTGAAGCCCGAGTCGACCTGGAACTGATCTTACGCAAGCAGCGGCGCGGTCACACAAGTTTTGTGTACAAGCTCTTCATCTGTAATAGCAGAATGGTGCCGTGTGCCTTGAGAGGAAGGCTAGAGAAGGGTATGTAACATCTCCGAACTGCCAGCTGGAGCCTCAGCCACGTACCTGCGCTTTCCTTGACGGAGATAATTATACCTTATTATCTGTGTCTTGTTTCTGGGACAGCTTTGTAATGAAACAAGCTGGTTTGTGTGTGCACGAGGACTTGGCAAGTCTGTTTCTCCTTTCAGCAGTTAAGCTTGCTGCCCCCTCAGCACTCCAGGGTTTCGCTTGCACCAGGAGCGGCAGTCCTCTAGGCTGGACTTCACGTGGAAACGTTGCATCAGTTGAAACAAGGGTGTGGTTTGATATATCCATTCCCAGTGGTGAAACCAGTTCAGGAAGTTCCTGTCCCCGCACCACGTGTTGGGGAGCTGGGCCACTACGCGCAGTTCCACGACCAGTTGTATCGGCACACCTGAAGAGGTGTTTCGTGGCAGTGCAGGGAGACTCATGGACTGGAATTGCTTCAAAAGCCAGTGAAAACATGGTACCGCGCTCCTTGTGCTGTTTCAACAGATGTAGTTAAAACACTGCAAATCCCTTCACAGAAACATATCAGAATTTGAGAATCAAGGGGCCTCCTTGGCCCTACTGGCAGATTTGCCTGCTCTCATTCTTGCCCCAGGCTGGTACCCTCTCTCATCCTGTCAGATAAACAGATCTCAACTCCGTTTCTTTATGTAGAAAACCAAAAAACTGTATGTGTGTTTTGCTAAAGCTGCTAGTGACACTTGCCATGGCTTATGGGCTCTTTGGAGATGTCTGTTGAGAGTAGTTTAGCAGATCTACTCCAAACACGGGCATCGTCACACATACCATTGTGCCAGAGAAGCACAGTCCCAGTCAGATGGCTTCTCTCCTGGGAGAGCCTGGAACAGTATTGCAACCAGGTCAGCTAGTGCACGGAGTTTCATAAACTGGCAGGAGAATTCCAGCCCTGCATTTTTATCTGCAGTGACTCCCTCACTGCCGGTAACAGCTGCAGCTCTGGATGCAAGAAGAATCAGCTCTGCAGGATTAAATTCAGATGGCTCTGAATGCAATGTCATTTGTTTTAGCACGTGGCTGGGCTTACAGTCAGTGGCGTTTCTTCGCTGCAAGGTAAAGCAGCAGTGTTTGGGTGTCAGACCCAGCTACATGATTTCAGGAAACAATTTGGGTATCAGTAGAGAGTTCTTTATCGACTGATGAAAGTGGAGAAAACGGAATCTGGTTAGTAGTAGCAGTTATCTTAGAGAGATTAAAAGAACAGTTACTGGTGACTGTTAACACATGCCAACAAAATGATACAGCTCTGCTGACCCTCCCATTCCAGCTGTAGGAGGTTGATAATCTGAAAGAAAACATGAGCGCTGATGGCGAAGAGTGATACAGGTGGGAGACCTGGCACGGGCCAGAGGTCTGCGCAGGAAAGGATAACAGAGTTGCAGGTGGTACTGGGGCAAATTGAACACAGTCCTGTAGAGGAATAAAGCAGGGACGGAGACACAGAACTCACAGGAAAAACCTGGAGATGGTGAGATGTGTGAAGTCACAGCTTTGTTCAAAATCAACTGGGAGGAAGGGGATTGATGGGCGAGAGGAGGAAGCTTCAGGAACATGAGGGAAATCAATAAGAGGGCGCGTAGGCCTCTTGGCGTGAAGGAAGGTGTGAGTAGTTTCAGAAATGTCCAGAAACAGAAAGTAGCACAAAAGGACGTGTGGTGGGAAACCAGAACTAATGCAAAAAGGGCAGAGATAGAGTTACACAGAGACTGGCAGAGGGGCTGGAAGTCAGATGGATGGACAGCAGGCGGGAAGTAGAAGTAATACCAGGGGAGAGAGATACAGCAACAAGGTGCTGGGAGGAGCCGTGAGAGGTCGTTGTGCCCCAAAGCGCCCTCCTACATTCCTGTAGGTAAGGACACTGATGTCATCTGGAAGGCGACGCTTCACGCAAAGACTATGCTTAACCAGGCCCGGGGATAACGCACCGCCGGGGAGAAGCAACTGGAATGGGAGTACACAAACGCCGGGAGCCTGGGCAACACAACACAGGAACCGGAACGACTGGTGCATGTTGTCAGACCAGATACTGCAGGCCTGAAAGAAGGAGGGTGGAATGGGAACTGTGACTGGAAAACAGGCATTTTAGGGAATGCATTAACCAAGAAAGAGAAATAAAAGGTAATGGTGCTACAGTAGCAATTACCGGTGAGCAGCTTAATAAATAAATGAATAAAGCAGGGATTAATCAAGAAGCCAAAAGACAGAATGGTAATCAAAAAATACTTTTAGGGTACAGCTTAAGCTATGATAAAGGGTTACTATACGTAGCAGTGGCCCTTCTGTAGCAAGAGGCTGGGGAGTCTGATGCTCCTAGGTGGGGAGAGACAAGGCAGGATGAGACAATAAGGGATAAGAGGAAAGAAAAAAAAGAAATGCTTAAGCCATAACACAAGACATCACAATTAAAGGAACGGGTATCCACCCAAAAAGTTCTGACAAAGACAAGGGCTGCATCTCCAAAGCCAGGCAGGCATCGGGAAGGAAGCTGTCTAGAACGGGTGATTAAGCTTCGCTGAAAGATGACCAGCCAACCGAGCAAGCACTGCCTATCTGGCGTGCTCCATGTGAAGTCAGTTCAGAAATGTACTTCTGGACTTTCTTACTAAAGCCTAAAGGTTCTTTTAAGAAGTTGCACTAAAATAGGACCTGAAAGGGAAACTATGCAAAGAAATTCTCTGTACTGTCAAATCCCTCCGCTCCAGGCTAGGCGAAGCTCACCAAGCAAACTCCCCGCATGAGGACAGGCCCCGCTCCTCAGAGGCTGGGTGCAGACCAGCTCCAACCACCGCCGAGGTCACGCGCCCCGGTGCTCCGCTTCACGCATGTTTTGCTCAGTGCGTCAGAAGGGCAGAAGACAAATGCACGAAGAAAACCAGGGACTCTAACCCTCCGACAGAAGGGACACGATTACCTCGGGTGTTTCCTGATGCCAGATTCATGCGGCTGATTTCAGCTACCGCTTGGAAAAAATGGAGGAATTAATTTGCCATCTTCACCCCTCAAATTGCAGGGTCTACTATCAGTAAATGCCATTTTCAATATCTTATACCAAGAAGGGCGCAAACTGAAGCAGAGGAAGTTCCGTCTGAACATGAGGAAGAACTTCTTCCCTCTGAGGGTGGCGGAGCCCTGGCACAGGCTGCCCAGGGAGGTTGTGGAGTCTCCTTCTCTGGAGATATTCAAGCCCCGCCTGGACGCAGTCCTGTGCAGCCTGCTCTAGGTGACCCCGCTTTGGCAGGGGGGTTGGACTAGATGGCCCAGAGGTCCCTTCCAACCCCGAACATTCTGTGATGCTGTGAGAAGCTGGAAACACACAATCAGGGGCTCGCAGGACTTGGGGAAAGTTAGCCTTACGTATTTACTTATTTTATTTATTTTCTGTGACCTGTTCGGTCATGCATCGTGAAGAAAGTTTTTGAGCAATATGCTTTTGAAACGTGCGTTTCACGGTGGAGCGACGACGGGCAGAAGAGAGGCGGTTGCCGGGAGGACCGGAATCACCACGGCCCACCGGGGAAAGGCCGCGGCCGTCAGACCAGCCGGCTCGGGACGCAC